TTCAAGATTTTCATGTAAAATAAGAATAGCGTTACATATAAATTGAATGCTGCTGCGTTTGTGTTTGTATTAATTCTATTACTATTGTAATTCAAATATCTATTAAGCTTATTGTACCACGAGTACAGATTGTTAAATGTTCTTAATTCAAAATAATAAAAAAAAACAAATCTTCGTAGACGTCGAGACTATAGATGTACACGAATGACAATAATAATTTTTCGGGATTTATTTTTCSCCTTATCTGGTAATATTTTGACGTTTTACGTCCAATTATCGGTCGTAATCGCAATTCGCATTATATATATTTATATGATCAAATACTAAGCTACCTTTACGTTACTTTTACGTTTACGTACTTTTTTTGTATTCATTATTATATACGATTTTATATAAACATATTACAACAATATGTACATAAGCTCAGCTATTTTATAAATAAAAACTAAGCTAAATTTAAATTAGAATATAAAAACTTGTAAGTTTGTACTATCGAAAAAATAATCAATTTTAATTTTGGTGCAAATTACAATTCCTATTTATCAATACCTGAGGAAGGTGCAAATTACATATCTTTAATTTAGTGCAAATTACAAACGCATTTTTAAAAAATGGTGCAAATATTGTAAATATTTTGGGTCAATTTTGGTGCAAATTGACTACAGCCAACCACGTCACTCCAATTACTGCTGTAGCCCGCGACACCTCGGCAGCTAACATTATTTTTATTTTTATTATTATTATTWTTTTTAATTGAGAATAAAGGCTTTAAAAGCTAGGTCATTTGCTTGCGATTGTGTTTACATTATTATTAATGGATATAGTTTAGTTGTGATTGGTGATTACATGGTTATGGGGTTAGTATGGTTTTTACCGAATTGTAAATTATTTACATTTTTGTTGGTTGTACAGTTTTATCTTGATATTCAATTTTTGAGTCGATGCCAAGCTAACATAATTATCTCTAAATTTTTATTCATGTATATCTATTTGAATATTGTTATCCATTGTAGGGCTCACAAACGTACTTTAAATAAATGTGCACATCTTTTGTTGCATAACATATATTTTATAACTACATAATACCTTTAAACCGACAGGGTTATCGTTACCTTTTGAATAGGTAGTATGGTTTGAATATACATCGTTTTAAAATTGAAATTAATTTTTCTCATTTAACTGTGAAAAAAAAAATGCTCAAAATTCCTACTTAATATTGATATAAATATGTATAATAATGTATAGTAAGCGTTTTTCAATGGAAATATTAATGACTACAAACATTTAAGAGTTTAAGACATATTTTATAAATATAATATAATAAATAAATTCGATTATGAAGKAATGCATATACATTATAATTCCACGTGATATGGCCTGTTGCATTTAAAAATGGCTGTTTAGACMGTTAAATCGTAGCGAAAATACCTCAGTATGGATGTCGGATGCGCCTCATGCCCTAACAACAACACCTTAACTATTCAAATTTCTATTTTTTTAATTTTTTTTTTAATTCATATCACTTATCAGCATGAGCTTATTATATTATAAAACGCATTAGTAGACACTTTCGACAATGTAGACTGAATATTAGAATGAGTTCTAAATAGAAAAAAAAAATGTACTTACAGTTAAAAAATAATTAAGGATAAAATAGGAACGAGATCATGTTACGCGTGTATCACTTTTTTATTATTTAAACGTCTACTTAAAAACTAATAGTATCTGAACTTGGAAAAATCAAAAAATACTTTTCAGTTAAAAATACGATATTATTATTAATTATATTGGCAATTAATTTGCAATTAATTGGCATTAATTATATTATCAAAAATACTAACAAATATAATTGATTGTTTAATAATGTCTTACTACTAAAATCATAGACAATTATAGGTGGCTTGTTTGTCGTTTAAAAATATACGTATAGCCTATAATATAATATAATATAATAGRTTATTATCTGACCATTGTTTAGTTTTTCTCATAAATATATTTAAAATGTCGGTTTTAATCGAGTCGAATTTAATATCATAATTTATAACGTTYAGGTAAAACATTCTCAACGTAGCCACGTAGGTATTTAATGCCCGGAATTTTCGTGAAGATAATCCGCAAAGGCCTAAGGACAGGAAGGTTTAAAATTATTTGCTATAAAAAATGCTTGMCAAATAAAATAACAGTACCTGCATAATACATAGGTAACCAGAGAAGTACAACTAGGCCTTTTATGTATCATAAAAGGCATAAAACACATCAACACGATTAAAATTCGCAGCTGATGTTTCTATATATATTTTTCAACCGTCCATTCGTGAAAGGTGCATTCACTTTTCTGAGACCTTTTATACAAATTGTATAGAGTTCCCGTTTTAATTATATACCACCGTATCGTATGTGTTCATCGTAGAATCAACTAATATATTATTATAATTATAAATGTAAATATGACTACGTTGGATGCTTGAAGTGTTTGAATTTCTGACTGTGAAGCATGTGCATAAGTGGAGTACCTATTACTTCTGTTTAAAACAGTGTTGCATAAACGGAGGGGGTTCCCTTTCTTGAATATTTGTAACCCCTAAAGGTTTACTGTCGAGTGAATATAATACGTAAGACCAAACTTACGAGTTTCTGTTTGTATTTAAAWTTTTTGATTAATTCTGAGTGATTATTATCATCGTAGAATAGAAACACCCTGTAGAATACAGCCGTAATATTAGAATGAGGCCATTACTCCGGGAAAACGAATTCCGAAGTTAATAATTATTAGTATCAACTTATGTAATAATAATATCTTTGAATACGAGTTATATTTTAATGAAAACGATTAGATAAAGTTCGAATCTTGCGTGYGTCTTTGAGATTTCCTTAATGTAGTTAAATAACAATGATGTATACCCTATAGCAGCCTAGCTGTACTGTGTTTATAATATAGAAACTATTCGTAACTCGTAAGTGTTGTATATACTTTGCTACTTTTGCCACTTAATATATTATTATTAATTAACCATATTAAATAGGACTTAGGGCGGTTTGTGAATCGCAAGACTGAATTTAAAATATTGGTTTGTTGTTATACATAGTAACATATACTTAAATATTAAAATAAATAATTTATTTTTACAATGAAGAAAGGAATGCGCAAGTCACACAAAATATGTATAACTATAATGTATATAGGACGTAGGTTCTCATTCATATTTTAATTAATAACATTTATTATGTTATTTAATCCTAAATTTAGTTTATGAATGGAATAAGAGAAAGTTTACATTTTTGTTAAATTCATTTATACTTAGGTATTTGTATATTTATTTACGTATCTACCAGTGACGTACTTCAGAATCTATTTCGAGGAATTGGGTCAGAATTCTCAGATTTTTTATTTTAGTTTAAAAACGTTCTTGTAAACCCATTGCGTTTTCCCGCATCTAATTGTATTATAATATAATAGATTAGTATAAATGCCATCATAGTGTATAAAKTTTTTCTATAGCGTGGAAAATAAAATATACAACATTTAACACTTGTATGTAAATATACACCTTAAAGTCCTGTGTACAAAGTGATTCACAAAGCATGCTCACTCCCTTTTTCTTCATTAATGCAGTTATTCAAAATCTAATTTTGRAATTTTTAAATATACTCAAAGACTATATTTTAAAAAAATGTTGAAATTTTTTGTTCTACTATTAAGGAGATATAATATTTTATGTAAAATGTGTATATTATATTATGATATTACAATGATCATAACTAAATCGTATTTTACGTTAAATTGCGATTTTAAATAAGTATTTTTACCAAAGTAAGCTAGAGATAATTGACCTGTTTGATTATAATGTAGAAACAAATTCGCTAAAAAAAAAAGAAACCTTTTCAATATTGGCTATCATTTACACTTATTGAAATAATTATCGTATACTATCTTGTTTTCTCTTATTTAATCACTATTATATTATGTATAACGATATGTCGATATATAGTTGAACATTACACCGTATATGACATGCGTATATATGCTTGTAGAGACAGGTCAAAGGACACCAAGAATAGATTACCAACCAAGTAATGAAGTAACTATTTAATACTTACATATTAACATTACTTATGTATAATTTATAAAATATTATTTTAAAGATTCAAAAGCAATCTTTTTTCATGTGCAGTTGCGCAGTAGGCACGGTACTATGCCTTATAAATTTCGGTTGGCCGGAATTTATTTTGGTAGATTAATAATTATTAAACTTAATATTGTTCTAATCCATTTTAACGGATTTTTGGCTAGAAAAAGTTTTAAAATTCGATGGGGTGATGGTTATTAGTTCTTACCCTATCATGCACTCACAGTGTCGCTACAATATCAAATGTTTACGCAGTAGCCAGTAGTAAGTTTTATGTCCTTTTGTATTAATTATCAATTAAATTAGAAATAAATAAATAATAGCCATCATTTTGAATAATTCTGTATTATATAAACTAAAAACACATTAATAATTTTGATGCGTTTCTGAATCTCATTGTAATAATTTGTATTTTAGTAGGTAATTTATATTTTATAAACAGTAAAAATGTAATGTTGACGCAGGACGCATCATATATTCATATACATTATACATGATAATTGATTATTGTTACAATAATAATGCATAATACCAAATTTAACAATGCACATAAATTCCAACACAATACAATTCAGTATGGAAATGTGGTATTCGTAAATGTATAATCATCATTCATTAATAAAATTGTTTTATTTTTTTAATTTCTCGTATATTATGTTATAATTATGTTGTGCGTACATAATTTTGACCGTCTTCGAATTTCATATTATTACAATCAAATAAGGCTGAAAATGTTAACTATATAATATAGAAAAATAAGGTGGACTCCGTTCTCTTATGCAACCCCCCCCCTCCAACCTACAACTTGAATCCCTACAAATATGCCAACGGCTTTTAAACTTTTTTTTTTGTTTGCCCTTCACGCGTACGTAGTTCCAGAGCCTGACAAACCTACCATGTGGGCTGGAGTCCAACAACAACATAGCCACCGCGGGCGTGAGCATGGACGAAGAGGACGGTAGTGCGGATGATGACGAGCACATACGAACTGGTCTGTGCAACGATGAAGACTCGCAAGACAACACCTTTCCGACGTCATTCGCGAATCCGTCCGGGGCGACCGCCGGCACAGCGCTCGTCAACGGCATTCGAAATGGCGGCGGAGGCAGTGGAAGCGGAACCGGAATCGAAAAGTTCCGCATCGAATATCCGAAAAAGTTCCACAACGCCCGCAGCATGTCACTGTCCATGGAACGGAACGCTTACTGCGAACTGTGCCGCTTTTCGCGCAGCCCCGTGCCGTTTGACCTGGCTGGAGGTGGCGGAGGCGGCGAAYCGGATGAACGCGACAAAGGCGTCCGCCGGTACTTTGGATTCACCATCAAACAGTACATGGCGCTCGGTTCGCTCGCGCTGGTCGACTTCCTCGGATTCTGTTCCATGTCCGTCATGGCGCCGACCTTTCCGAAAGAGGTATATTATATTTATAATTTATACTTGATATCAATAATATCTTAAGCGCTGATTTCGCTAAACCGAATAGCAGTTGGTGTGCACTATACATTCTAGAGTACGTGCATGACTAAATAAATATGTATGGTCACAACTTTGTGATACGCACGCCATCATATATTGATTCGTCTACCGCGAGCCGCGAGGTTCTCCACTTCTATATTATATTCTATTAAAATTGCCATGGACTAAATATCTTATGAGATTGCCGACCAATGAAATGCGGAAAACTACGAGCGATGGTTTTGTGTGTTGTGCATAGAATATGCGCAAACCGGACGAAAACTGTTTTTTTTTTTTTGTAATTATTCTAATTTATTAGTCATGAGTACATACATATGGTATGGGTACAACCGTACTAGAGCTCATGCAGGGGTAAGGGATGGGGTGGTAGCCGACGCTTTGTGATTGTGCGGTGTACGCGTATAGACTTTCAGCCGCGACGAATGCGATCGACGATTGTCTCTATAGTGGAGGTAATTCTGCGCCAAATCTTCCCAATTATTGGACATTTATGTTCATATATTATTTACATGGACAACAGTCGGGTTTGGCGAAGTAAAAACTATTACAGCAGTAAATTATACATTTATTTTACCCAGTGGTTGAATTGGAAAAATAAATAAAGGTGCAGGACTTTAAATAAAGTTTAACAATTAAGCAAATCAATTTAATAGTAACCCTATTCCTTGATGAATATAATAAAGGGGTACGCTATAATTTGAAGAAAAAATGAAGAGTAGCTCTGTCCCCCCCCCACGTCCTACCCAATTCAACCACTGTACCATTTCAAAACTGTTTGTTGCAGATGGAATGGCCTATCTCATTATAGACAAACCATAACGAATTCCGCCATCTTAATATTTTTATTAAAAATTTAAATTGTTCAACTCGTACTTCGCTACTACTACTTCTGCGCAGGTCATATACGCTTCTAGGTTTTCTGTAAAATTGTGATCAGAGAACTTTCATTAAATCAGTCCAACAAATAGGCCAGTGTAGGAGAAATACATCAACCACAACCAACAAACCTTCTTTATACTATACTCTATTTTCGGAATAAGAAGTGTCAACGGCAGCGATCTGTTTCATCGGAAGGCGGTCATCAGATGCTTCTTCCACCGACGCCGTTGACGTTTAGAGTTTAGATATTATTATATATGTATATACATACGTGCCTATAAATATCGACAGTCACTTTGGTTTTAAACAACTAGGGAAGTATATTTGCTACACAAGCAAAACATAAAGTGCGCCATAATAGTCCGGCAGGTGGCAATTATAATTGAATGACGAGCCACAACGCTGTTGGTGATAATAAATAAATCTGACGTAATTCCTATGTGACCTTTAACGGTTTTCCTTTTTTGCTATTGGAGCGCTGGCCACCGGGTATAATGTAGCGTAACCGAGTGTGGGACTAAAATAGGTCAATTTAAGTGAAACGGCATTTGAGGAGTTTGGGTGTGTTCGTACATAAAACACGTAGGTACTTAAAACATTTTATTTCTGTTTATTATATTATTTTATTTCAGAGTAGGTACTGTATTAATACTGTATAATGATGTATACCTATAGTTAAAATTCACCTTAAACATTCCTTTCTTATATACATTTTTTTTTTGAGTTCTGATTGGAGTGAGGTAGCTGGTGATGGTTTTATAATGATATTTATTTTTATTCTGTTTTGTTTTGATCTTAAGACTTAAGCCATGTCCATATGTATACCTATTTTCCAGTAGGTAGCAAATTTTTGGACATTTTCCATAAATGTAGAAAAAAAACTATAAAAAAATGGCTGGTAAAGGTAAAAACATGATTTTTTTGTTCAATTCGAGTTCTGTTACTCTTAAACATTCACTATAAACTCAATTCCACATCTAGGTACATTCATATATGACTATATAATTATAGTTATGCACACCTATAAGTCGTCTATAACTAGCTATAATATTGAAACGCCGCTCAAAATCACTGTATTGTACGCAATAATGTATCAATTAATTAATTAATTAATMKATTAAATTGAATATTAACCTATGAATAGTACTTAATTACAAGGTGCGTTCAAAGTCTTCTATATACAGCAGAATAACTCCCTGGATTTTTCTTGCATTTCGAAAACTCAAAAGTTAAAAGTACGTTTCGAAAAGAGTATTTAAATTGTACAATATTATTTTGTAGTTTTTTATTTAAAAAAATCGAAAATCGAAAATCGAAAATACTAATTAAAACAAAAAGTTGAAGTACAGGATTTGTCTGTTGACCTATTGTTTACACTCAATATGAAAAAAAGTACATTCAATTATCGTAAAAAAAGATGATCCGTACAAATTCCCGTCTCGAAGAACTCTCATTGATAAGTCACGAGTAAGTATTATTTATATAATTATTTGAAATACATATCTGGCATATGTGTAAATACTTTTCAGAAAATGTATTGAATTACATTTCAAAAGTATTTTTTAACAAGTCACGCGCAAATCCGATGCTGTTGAATTTCCGAGGACTCAAAAACGCAGTCCTTTAAATCATAGTACAATACAATTATAATTTGTAACCGAGTCTCATAATAGGTATATAATAGGTATTAGGTACATACACATTAATAATACAACCACGCCGTCCTTCAAATCGTGACCAGTGACCACGTTGTCGTTATATCGTGGTTGCTACCTCTCTAAACAGGTGTCTCGTCAGAAAGACGCTGCCGGGTTTATTTGTCTTTGCGGCTGTTATGTACACATTATTATGCCGACTTTTGTCCGTTCGGTGACCACCGTCAACCCTTAAAATCGTGCCCAAGGCACAATCGTATTATTATTTTTACATACTGCGCAATACATTGAAGTTACCTACATTTACAGTTTTCTGGGATTTCGTGATGGGTTTATGTGTACAGACTGCGAAACGATGTGTAATATAATATATCTTCTTTCACCGTTCMAAAGCGCATAATACTGCTTATATCAACCGTTTCGTTAGTATCCCGAGTATCCGTAGGTTACCTACATAACGACAAACTTTTTATACATAATATAAAAGACTTATCTATAATGCTACGTAAATTACTGTACGATAATAAAATGTACAAAATATATTGCCCGAGGTCTTATGTGACGTAAGCCACTGATTAGATTTAGCTGACTGTGGCGTGGTGTACTTACACTAGGTAATTTTGAYACACGCGTAGCATTGTCGTATATCGAGAAAAAATTAAATTCCGACGCCACCGACCGTAATCAAAATATTATAATATTATTATGTTGAAACTGTAGTGTAGTTATAGTGGCGTATATAGAAATTAATTTCGGGGGTGGGAGAGGGGTTAAAAAAAAATTATGTAAACAATATTATGGTCTAACTTTATTTTAATAATTTAAATATACATGGTCACATTTTTTTTTTAATAAGCATTGAGAGTTCGAATAATGACAAAATAGGTAAAATCATGAAAATTTGCAATTTATTTTGAGTTACAAATTCATAAAAATGTATCTTTTTAAATCTTAAGTTTGAAAATTCGATACAAGATTTATTATGAGTTTGTCTACTTTTATCCAATACAAAATGTCTTCTGCAAAGTCAAATTATATTTTTATGAGCATTATTGAATTATAACATTGAATATTCATTCAATTTCTCTTATACTGACATTATTTTGTTGTTATTMAAAAACGAATAACTGTAAAAACTTGTAATTTACACCATATATTAATTTTATCAATTCCTATAGTTGATAAAATTTTCAAAATATTTCAACAATTTTTAAGTTATTTATAGACATTCGAAATTTCCCGTTTTTTTAGTTTTTTATTCTACAAATGTCGATAAAATGTTATTCATTGGGTAAAAAAATTTGAAAATTTAATACAAGATCCTCCTTGAGTTTGTATAATAGCAGTCAGAAAATATTAAAATACATAATCGAATTTTTTTTATAAACATTTAAAGTTCAAATTTTTACAACATTTATTTAATTGAAAATTCACAAATTCTTTAGTTGTTAAAAAATTTATAAAACGTTTAAATTGTATAGCTAAGGATTGAAAACGTAGAATAAAGTTCCACGTAAGTAGTTAATTCTGCTGCAAAA